CTATCTATACCTTGTAAATCTTCCTTTATGTCCTTTACTCCCATAAAATGAATGTAGTTTATATTCCAAGGTTTCCTAAGCCCAGGCTGAGCCAGCACCAGTCAAATGATCAAAATCAAAGGGCATTTTGGGAACCTAGGCTGTGATTCAGGTAAACTCCATGTGTCTAGTGAAGTGTTTCTTTTACTTCTGTGTGTCCCTTATAGGTAAGCACCTACAGTGCTTTGTAGGTAATTTATGCTCCATTAAATGTGAATTGAACTAAATTTTCCATGAATATTTTATTCTGGTTCTAGGTGTTTGATTTTGAATTAACAGAAGAAGATATGAAAGACATGATCAGCCTAAACAGGAATCTCCGATTGGCCACATTCCCCATGTAAATATGGTTCCTTTTTAAAATTGAGAAAGCAATATATAGAGGGGTGACTGGTTCCTGAAGAGGTAGTTGTTATATACATTTTAGATTAACTAAAACTTTTTATCATAATCCTTTCTGTTTGAAGATGGGCCACTGAGTAAAGCCAAAGACTAACTTTATACAGTAGGAAGTTTAAAAATACATAACTATATCATTTAAATGTTTCTCTTAAAACTAATCATTCTTTGCTTCTATTTTTTATTTGTTTTTTAGAACTGAAAATCACAAAGACTATCCTTTCTTCATTGCACACTGAAGACAGCCACCCTCTCCCTCATTTCTGCTTGGCCCAGACAGATGGACACTGGCAGCTATGTTGACCACCTCTGCAGGGGCTCGGTGGCCACAACGCGGATGGGCCCCGCAGAGGTAGGTTTGGGTGGATTCCCACCTGGAACAGAAGCCAACTTCTCTGAGAAATCCAAAGAATTGAGTGCGTTCTAAATGATGGAAATGGGATTTCTGTGTGATAGCTTGTGTGGCCTCTACTCTCTGAAAAAAGATATTGATGACTCATGAATAAAATTTACCTTCACATTTTAAGAAAATATTGTTTTATGGCAATATTTAAACCACATACAGAGTTGAGGAAACAGTGTAATGAATCCTGTTACTCAGCTCCGAAGGCTATCAGCCAGGCCCATCTTGTCTGACTTCCTGTGCTCTGCCAGTGCCCCTGAGGTGATTTAAAGCAAAATCCTTCCCTCCATCAGTGGAAAAGGAAATGGGGTAAATTTGGGACAGTTTCAGTTTAAAAGAGAGGCTTTTTCTAATTTAAAATCTAAATTTTACTTTTTAAATACTATTTTTAACAAGGTCTTCTGGTAAGTCAAATTATATCTGTGGAAATCCCAAGAGATGAAGGAAATCAGATGGCTCCCTTCTCTGCATCTGCTTTTTTATCCTTTTGAGACTCAGCATATCAGGAAGAGGCCCTGGCAGAGGGGTGTTCACACCAGGCTGGCTTGGTGCACGGTGGGTTTCATGGACATAGTGCTGTCCAGAGGCCATGTCACTGCCCCTTGATGCCACCTCTCAGCGCATCTGGCCTAGTTCTGTGCTCTCAGTTGCACACTGATTCTTCAGGGATATAACTTCTATTTGACTCCTTTGCTCCAGAGGGAGTTCAGCAGAAAGAAAATCTGATGTCTACCCCATGGTGCCCCCGATGGTCACACTCCCCTTTTCCTCTGTCCACCCTCTGCCCTCCCCTCCAACCCCCTTCCATCTCCATGCGAGCCTCTCAGAGTTCCTGCCCCATCTGAAGGCAGACAATGGTTGCCTAGGGACCAGAGTGTCCTGGTTTGAGCACGGTTCCCTCCATGTCACTTCACAGTGCCATCTTACCACAGGCAGGTCTGCTGAGTCAGGAATGTGGGCTCTGTGATCCTAAGCAGACTACTTCATCTTCCAAGGCCTCGGTTTCCGCATCTGTTCAGTGGGGGTAATTATGGCACCCCACAATGTTGTTGAAAAGTCTCAGTGAGGATGGCTTGTTACTCTGGCCATTTTTATCACCATTGTCTTATTCCTCAATTCCTCATGTCCACCTCCCTGCTCAACCTTCCAGATGTACCTGGGCATGTAGGAATCTTCTGGCTCTGGGCTCCAAGAGAGAGCTTTACTAAGCATCACAAAATGAAAAGATGTTTATTGTTGACAAGAGAACCTTGAGTGAAGCTCATTATAGAGGGAGTAGTCTTGAGGGTGAGTTGTCATGGTTTGGCCAGTCTGCAAGGAGAGAGGTTTAGTCAGGCTGTTGATAAAGGACAAGAAATAAGAGAGTCCTCAGGTGGTCTCCTGCCACCCTCATGTCACCAGGCAATTTCTGACTCCCCCCAGCTGCACCCCCATGGACTTAACATTACCATGTTTCTGACTCCCTGTCACTTGTTAGCTGTGTGACTTTGTGCAGATAGTCTCTTAAGCCTTACATTTGTCATCACTGCCTATGTAAGGGCATCAGGATTAAGTGGTATACATAAAGCACATACACAGTCAGCATCTAGTACTCTGTGTGTACATGCATGTGTGTGTGCTTGTATGTATTTTTTATTTTCTTTATCTCCCAGAGTCACATATTTAGCCATACTATTTTGCAGATGTCACTTGTCACTTACACCTAAACCAGAAGTAGAGGGTAGGATCGTGGTTACCCGATGCTGGGGCAGGGAGGGGAAGTTGGTCAGCGAGTACAAAGCTGCAGTTGGATGGGGAATAAGTTCTGGTGTGCCATTGCCAACTAGGATAGCTATAGTTAATAATATATTGTGTATTTCAAAATAGCTGAATAATGAGGATTGACTACAGTATTGCATTTTATGGACGTATTTCCCAGGGCCACATGAAAACTGTCAATTAAGTCTGCCACCAGGTGGCACTTGGGGAACACATAATGTTCAAACTCATTTGTGGTTCTGGCAGGAGATGACAATACTTGCACTGCCTATTTGATTTTAGGGTTTCTTACACCTCATAAAACCACTGTGAAGGAAGAAACAGTGGATAGCAAAAATAAGCAAACACTGGGAAATTGTAAAGCTTGAGAAGTTTCACAGAGTGTACACGATTGCATTCTTGATCAGTATTTCCTAATTGCCTTTTCAGGTGGTAACTGACAGCTCTATGCATCTTGTCTTTTAATTCTAAGAGTGGAGCTCACAAAGCCCTATTCCCTCTTCTGTGGTACCTCTGCTTTTCTACAGGGAATGTGGTTTCTGTGCTTAAGTTCTTCTGTACACTGGGAACTGCAGAGCAAGCTCCACAGAGGAAAGGTATGAACATGTGCTCTTTGAGGAACCCACTGTGTCAAGTGGCTTATGTGCATTTCTGATGACTTTAGGACCAGAGGGATACTATCTGGATAGATACTGTCTTCACTGGGCACTTGCGCTTTTCATGTGAATGAAAACTCCAAGGGTAAGTGGCAATCAAAGGCATAAAAATCAGGAAACAGAGTCAGGCATCATTTGTTCAGGGGATAATGGTGAGCTGTAGATGGACCTTGGGGAGGACAGCAGGGGATTGCTGGTTGTATGGCAGTTTTATGTTTAACTGTTGTGAGAAACTGACAACTGTTTTTCAAATTGCACAAGTTTCCATTCTCTTACACACTGGAAATTGTAGTGTAGAAATGTGTGAGGATTCCCATTTCTCCACAACCTCAACAACATTAGTCTTTGTTATTAATATTATAGCTATTCTTGATGACTAATGTTGAGCATCTTTTCATGTGCTTATAGACCATTTGTATATCTGCTCTGGTGAAAGGCCCATAGCATTCCTGGGAGTTCACTGTGGTGCAACAGGGTGGAATGGTGCACAGCTTTGGAACTTGGATTTGCTTCAACTGCCAAACATTAGAAAACTCAAGAGGATAAGGAAAATCTATTGTATTTGCCCATATTTTTGCTTATCATATTTTTTTCCTTCCTAATGTTACAAGGTTTCATCTTTCACCATTTTCTTTATGTTTAGAAAACTTACTTTAGCCATTCTTTTAAGATAGGTATTCTTGTAAAAATTCTTTCATTTTTACTTCATCTGGGAATGTCTTGATATCCCTTTTATTCTTGAAAGCTATTTTTGCTGGATATAAGATTCTGGATTAACAGTTATTTTCTTTCAGACTAGGAAATTATTGCCACTTCCTTCTGGCCTTCATGGTTTTATGATGAAAAATCCACTGTCATTTGGATTTTTTTCACCTGTAAGTAAGGTTTCATTTCTCTCACTGCTTTCAAGATCTTTTCTTTTTCTTTAGTTTTCATAAATTTAATTATGATGTGTCTTGATGTGTATTTCTTTTGTTTTACATTGTTTGGGGATCACTTATCTTCTTGACTCTGCAGGTTTATGTATATTTCTAAATTTGGAAAATTTTCAGCCATTACTTCTTTACGTACTTTTCCAAACCCATCCTTTGTTTCCTTTCCTCTCAGGGCTTTGATGACATAAATGTTAGGCCTTTTGTTATAATTCCATAGATCCCTGAGGCTCTGTTCCTTTTTTTCATCTGTGTATTTTCTCTCTGTTGTTCCTATTGGGTGATTTATATTTTTTTTATCTTCCAATTCACTGATTATTTCATTTAACTCTTACATTATGCTATTGATTGGATTCACTGAATTTTTATTTTGATTATTGTATTTTTCAGTTCTAAAGTTTCCATTTGGTTATTCTTTATATCTTATACTTTTTTACTGAGACTATTTCTTTACTAAAACTTTCGATTTTTATTGCAATTGTGTTTATAATTGCTGTTGAAACATTTTTATGATGGTTGCTTTAAAATCTTGGTCAGATAGTATCTTGATCAGATTTTATTGTATGCATATTTTGCTTATCTTTTTTCATTCAATTTGAGACTGTCCTTGTTCTTGGTATGATAAGTGTCCTTTATTAAAATCTGGACATTTGGGGTATTATGTATTGATTAAATTTTAAATCCATTTATAAGTTCTAACAAAATTATATGGTGTGGAAAATTCACAGATGAAAATGAAAAAAAAATCAAAATAAGAACTATAAAGAAGTGAAAAGCTAGACTTTGAAAATGTGAAGGTATATGAAATGATTCACGTGTTTTGAGAGATTCACATCCCCTATGATCACTTCTAGGGATGCCAGCACTTCAACCGCAGTGAAACAGGAAAAGAAAAAAGCAAATAAATGTCAAAGTGGCAGTAGGTTAGGTTGTTTAAAGTACATCTTTATTTTCTTTAGGGAAATAAAAAGTAGGTTTAGAGACTTCTACTTCCTAATTTGGGAACTTGGGCCAGCTTGTGACTGAGCAAGCTAAGCAATATGGAATAAACCAGATAGACGTCTCATTCTTGAGATGTTCTCTATTCGTCAACCAAAATCAAAGAACTCTGGAGCAACCACAGACTCTGTTGTTAATACTCATCAAGAAATGGATAATCTGGGTGAAAAAAAAATCTAAAACACAAAGGGAGAGTCTTAGTCAATTAACTGTTTTTGGACTAAGTGAAAAGAGATTTCTGTTAAATTTAGGCATAAGCATGAAACTTAACATAGTTTTCTTTTTGAGATAAGTACAGACCCAACTAGTTTTATAATAACCATGCACTGTTGCATCACACTATCATGAATACATTGTGGAAAATAAATATACCTACACACAAACAAATATACCAATATATTCAGGTTTTACAGGTAAGTTATTCTACAAATTAAGAAGATAAACTATTTGTGTTTATACTTTGAACTCCCAGGAGGGCAAAAACAAATTCTCTCTCTTTCAAAACATTGCCCAGTCTGAGTTAATATTTACAGTTAATAAATATTTTAAGATGATAATGAGAAATGTAACAAAAAACATCACTGTTCAATTTCTTTCAAGCACTCAGAAATAATTTATCTATGACTTTTCTAGAGGAAAATTATATATTAGACTTAGAGATAGACACTGTGATTGTACAATGAAGTCACTTCAATGGAGAGCTTCCCTTTTAGCAAGGTTAATTCTATTAAGTAATAATTTTGAGATAGAAAATGCTAAATCATTGAATAATTATTATCGATTAATATTATTGATATTTATTGTTATGGGTTACTGCCTGCATCTCTATATTCCCTTACTTCGTTATCATTTTATTATGTTTATTTATTCAACCAATATTTTTTGAGCACCCAGGAAGATAGTAGTTTAAGAACAAAACAAAAACAAAAAGTCTGCCCTCAGAATCCAGCATTCTAATGTGGTAAACAAAAAATTAAAATAAATCAGTAAACTATGTAGTATGTTAGATAGGGATATGTGTCAAGGAGGAAAATAAAGCAGAGTAGAGGGAAAGGATGTTCTGGGAAGAGCTGCATTTTTAATTAAGAAACAGAGATGGCATCGCCAGTGTGACAGATGAGTTAATACCTGAAGGATGTAAAGGAATGACCCATCCAGCTATCTGGAGAAGGAGCTCTGTAGGCAGAGAGAATAACCAGTGCAAAGGCCCTGAGACAGGCCTGGCTTATGTGAGGAATGGCTAGGGGGTCAGTGGGGCTGTGCTGGAGTCAGGAGAGGAGAATAGTAGGGCATGGACACAGAAGTAGGGGAGGGAATACCTGTTGGCCCTCGTAGGTCTGTGTGAGATGCAGGATGCCAGATATTGAGAAGATAAGCACCTGATTACACCTACTTTTTAAACTGTTCGCTCTGACTACTATGCATGAGGGAGAGTGCAGAAGCAGGGAAAGCAATCAGGGGCACCTAGTTGATCAGGAAGACTTTGACAGGAGTATATTCAGGATGTGTCTGTGTATGTGTCTCTGTGTATGTGTGTGTGTTTTTCTCTGTGTGTGTCTGTGTGTGTGTCACTGTGTATGTATCTCTGTGCATCTCTCTGTATGTGTGTCTGTGTCTCTGTGTGTGTGTCACTGTGTGTGTCTACCTGTGTGTGTGTGAGTCGCTATGTGTATCTCTCTATTTGTGTCTGTGTGAGCATGTGTGTATCTGTGTATGTGTGGGGGCTAGGGATTGCAGATACAATCATAAGCCCAATTAGAGACATGGTAAGTTTGAGATGTGTAGTAAACACCCAAGTGCAGTTGAGTAGACAGATAATCAAATCTTAGTCTAGAATCTCAATCGGGGCTGGATGTAATATGGGGAGTCTATATTGAGATGGTGTTTAAAGCATGAGACTAGATGAAATCACCAACAATGTGGGTGCAGAGAGAAAACAGAAGAGTTTTCAGATTGAGCTCTAGGTCACTCGACAACTGAGAGCTCAAACTGATGAAGAGAACCAGCAAAGAACATGAGAAGGAATGGCAAGAGTGAAGGGTTCAAGCACGTTGTTACATTGATTGACCCTGGAATCTAAGCAGGTAAGAAGGACAGTGGGCACAGTAGAGCGTCAATGTGAAAAGATGGTATGATCAATGTGCTGTAGGTCTCTGGCAATCAAAACATTATTGGAATATTGAGCAATATAGCAAATGAGCTGGACAAGTAGGCGGTGATGATTTAAAATTGCAGCGTGAGAATTTAAAATTGAGATTGTGGAATGGTGATGGTAACTAGTAATGACAAGGTCTAGGATGAGACCATGGGGTTGAGGGGCTGAGTTAGACTGGAGATTATGCTCATTGGAAGAGAGGAGATCAAAACACTGATAGGTCATCTCTGTGGAAATCATAAGAAATGATGACATCTACTGCTGGAGAGAGTGACAACTAGTCAAGAACTAAAATCCTCTGTGGATGAGGATTTTAGTCCTGAAATGCAGTCCTAATGACTGCAACAAGGAAGGGAAGTGGTGGAGTAGTGTGATGACATGAGATCCAGAGCAGAGTGTTCTTGAGAAAGGGGAGAGCGAATGGTCTGGGAAGATTAGTGAGGGGTAGGAGGCTTCCTACTCAATATTCCAGCTTAGCGCTATGAACAGCTTAGAAGAGGGAATGGCTGCCCTGCCCTGCCCCCCAAAGGACTAGAGAAAACAGTGCTGCTAGGACGAACAGGGTTGCAGCTTGAGGGAACAGCGAGAATAGTTATAGACATCAAGAGTAAAAGGATTTTGCTGATGGCTGAATATGAGTTTCAGATGGCACAGTGAGAAGTGCCAAGGTGATAGACACAGCTATTTGGGCACTGGGGATTTTAGGGTCCTGTGGTGACTAACAGTGATAAACACCACGATAACCCCAAGGCAGAGAAGAATGGCAGCTGGTGGGAGTCTTCCCTGGGGCTAACAGATTTGTGAGGCTCCCCTGATTCCTGCTGAAGAAGGCCTTGAGGGAGACTTGCATTTTCCAGGTTCTGTGACATTTACATACATACATGTATTAAATGTCACTGAACAGAAAAAAATAACTTCCAGATTTCTCACATTTGTACAGCCTTCCAAAAATCATAGAATCTAAAGTTTGAAGGGTCATTAAAAGTATATCTTTGGAAAGGATTATTCTTGCCATTGTCACCTCCATTGTATTGATATCTGGCATCTCCCCTTCTTTCTTCCTGATTTCTAAGTCCTCTGACTGTTCACTATTGAAAAACTTACAGTTATAAACTTGAGGAAACTTAAACTTGAAGAAAGTTCTGAACAATGCTCTGAAACCAGAGTTAAAGATTTACCCCTGTGGCCAGTTTTGCAAGGGAGCCAACTCAGATTCAAAAACTGAATTAGAGAAGGTGGGCTTTGTGATAGAAATTAGGGAAACATGAGAAATATTGAGCTATAGAGTTAACAGGTCTAGGTGGTCACTTAAATGTAGGGGTGAGATTTGTGACAAAAAAATTGATGTTTGTAGTATTAACATGATGAGTATATATAGAGGGAAGCTGAAGGCTTTAATTTTAGATATAGTAAGTTTGAACTGTGGGAGTAAGAATTGTCCAGTAGGCTGCTAGAGACCAAGAGAAAGGCCTACGTTAGAGACGGAAATTGGGGAATTACTAGCATATAGATTGGAGTGAAGCACAATGCTGAGGCTCTATATCTCAGGAGGCAATGCGGAGTTCAGAGGGTTCCGTCTTACCCTGAGTCATCCTCACATTCTTGTCTGGGAAGAGCCCTGAGCCTTAGAGTAAATTTCTGAAGGAAAAAGTATTTTCCAACAACTTTTCTAAACAACAGCCTCTGCCTTCTGTGGATTGGAATAAGCCAATTTCTTCCACTGTCCTGTTCCCCAGTGTCTACAGTATAGCAAACTACTTACTCAGCATCTTCAAAAAAGCGCATATTCTTGTTCAGGCCATCTAGAGTTTTCATGTCCTCTGGTGTCAAATGGAAGTCAAAAGCCTATCCAAAATGTGAGAGGACCAATTCAGTTTCCCTGAAGCAATTTCTGTTCCTCTTCTCCCCTCTTCACAAACACACAAATTCATGTAGGAAATTGTGTAGGTTTTATGAGACAATTATCACATACCTGGGACTCATTCAGTGGCAAAATTCAGGGGAATGAATTTTAGCCCTAATCTCTCTATTCAAATAGTTGAGACTGGCATCTCTAATCTGCCCTCAGAGACTTTTATTGTGTAGCTGTCCTTGTAGCAAGTGAATCCTAAAGATTTTTGAGCCCAAATCTCATATGATCTAATTCCTTTACTTTACATTGTAGAAGACAAGGGATGATTTACACAGGGCTATAATGTAGGTGTAAAACCAGAATTGTGGCCCAATCCTGACACTGCTTAGTGTTCTTTTCAGGCATCACATTCTCCCTTGCAGCAGGTAGAGGCTAAGACACTTAAATACAGTGCTGATATGCAAAGAGTGAATAAGGAGATAAGCTTTGCCCAAATGTACCTTAACAGCCTCACAAATACCCTCATCCACAGCAAAGGATGTGCCTCTGTTGGTCCCCTGCTGCCAGTGCCCTGCTCTGTACCTGGAAGTTCTCCTTGATTCTCTTCTCACTGAAGCTCTTGGCCAGGACCACCAGTCCCCGCTGCAGCTGATAGCGCAGGGCTACCTGGGCTGGAGTTCGCCCATGCTTTTCAGCAACCGAATTGAGTACTGGATCCTCCAGGATAACTGGGCTGTTCTTTTTCCTCCTGAGGGGAAAGGCAGAGATGCTACATGTTGGAGGATGAATATCCACTTTACTTGGAGGCTGCTTCTTCAAGCCAGGGATGGCTAATCCTCTAGAACCTTCCTTATTCCCCTCTGGCTGTTTTAATATCTGTTTTGTTTCTCTTGTTATATCCAAAGAAGAAGGAAAAAGGAAAGCAAGGTGGCAAGGAAACTCAGGTCCTTTTTTTTCTTTTTTTTTTTTTAAAGTATTTCCGAGAAGTTTAGTAAAAGATTGAATAAATCAAGAAGACACAATTGTCCAAAAACCCAATTTCCACCATCATAATAAATAATAAACTATTGTATAAGAATTTGCTATTTCAAAAATGCTTTCAGTATAGCTTAAAGTCTGGTAAAGTGATGCCTCCCAATTTGTTCTATTTGCTTAAGGTCTTCAAGCTATACTATAAGGCTGTTGTAACCAAAACAGCGTAGTACTCACACAGGAACAGGGACATAGACCAATAGATCAGAACAGAGAACCCAGATATAAAACCATCCTCATATTGCCATGTGATCTTTGACAAAGCAGACAAAAACATACACTGGACTAAAAAATCTCTATTCAATAAGTGATGCTGGGAAAATTGGATAGCCACGTGCAGAAGACTCAAACAAGATCCACACCACTCACAAAAATCAACTCAAATGTATAACAGACTTAAACCTAAGGCATGAAACTATAAGATTCTATAAGAAAATGTTGGAAAAACTCTTATAGTCATCAGCCTAGGCAAAGAATTTATGAAGAAGCCCCGAAAAGGAATCACAGCAACAACAAAAATAAATAAACGGGACCTGAGGAAACTAAAAAGCTTCTGCACAGCCAAGGAAACAACCATTAGAGTGAATAGGCAACCTACAGAATGGGAGAAAATATTTGCTTTCTATATACCCAATAAAGAATGATATGATATAAAGCTGATAACTAGAATCTATAAAAAACTCAAGCAAATCAGCAAGAAAAAATCAACCCCATTAATAAGTGGGAGAAAGACATGAACAGAAACTTTTCAAAAGAAGATAGTCTAATGGCCCACAAACATATTTAAAAAATGATCAATATCTCTATTCATTAGGAAAATGCAAATCAAAACCACAATGAGATACCACTTAACTTCCATGAGAATGGCTTTCATTAAAAATTCCCCAAACAACAAATGTTGCTATTTATGCAGAGAGATAGGAACACTCATACACTGTTGATGGGACTGCAAACTAGTACAACCTCTATGGAAAGTAGTATGGAGATACCTCAAAGAACTAAAAGTAGACCTACCATTTGATTCAGCAATCCCACTACTGGGTATGTACCCAAAGGAAAAAAAGACATTCTATAAAAAAGATACCTGCACTCAAATATTTATAGCAGCACAACTTACAATTGCAAAGATGTGGAAACAACCCAAGTGCCCATCAATACATGAGTGGATTAATAAAATGTAGTATATGTATACCATGGAGAACTACTCAGCCATAAAAGTAAACGGTGAACTAATACCTCTTGCATTAACCTGGATGGAACTGGAGACCATTCTTCTAAGTGAAATGTCACAAGAATGGAAAAGCAAACACCGCATGTACTAACCATTAAATTGGAACTAATCAATCATACTTATGTGCACATATGGAAATAACATTCATTGGAAATCAAGCAGGGGGCGGGGAGAAGGGGATGGGTAAAGTCACACCTAACAGGTACAATGTACACTATCAAGGGAATGAGCGCACTTATAACTTTGACTCAAATGGTACAAAAGTAATTTATGTAACCAAAACGTTTGTAACCCCATAATATTATGAAATATTATAAAAGAAAAAATGCTTTCAATAATTTTATTGTTTAATAATGTTTTATTGAGTCCTTATGTTAATAATGTAAGTCTGGGTTAGGTAAAAGGTTTACAAAGATAAATTATTCCTGCTGTCTACTTTTAATTTCCCCAGACAGCTGAGAGATGACTTCAGAAGGTATGGTATCTATGCTTAAAATAACTTTATGAAAATTATTACCATTCCTTGGCTGGGTCAGACCCCAAGGCACCATACGCAGTCAAGACAATGTCCTTGGACTTACAGAACTCCAGTAGTTTGCTTTGGTTGTGGTAAAGATGACATTCCACCTGCAGAATACCAAGCAGGAGCATTAGATTACAGGACCACCAAAGCCAAATATACCAGGAACATGCAATGCTGTATTGCATGGTATCAAAAATACTCAAGAATACCAGCAACATTGGCCAACTCATGATCATCATCCACCAGCTGTACCCACAGAGCTCCCAAAGTCTTTACTTTGGATTACAGCCCATGGATAGCATGGCAACATGGCTTAAATAATTATCTCAGGAGGACAGGTACCTCTTGGAGGACAAGTTGAGAAAACAAACAGATAATCTCAGTCTATCAGACTGAAAAACCATGGTGATGTCTTTGATTGTTGCACATTTATTGTCTGTATATAATGAGAAGCAATTTCTGCCTTTCTTAGTTCTTTCATCTCAGTATTCTTTATTTATATCTCTTCTCTTCAATTCTGCTACTCCTAGGATTCAATAAAATCATCCCTCAAAATTTTTTTAGCTTTATCGAGGCATGTTTTATTATACCAAAACATGCACACATTTAATGTATACATCTTGATGAGTTCAGGCATGTGCATACACCTGTGATACCATCACCCCCATCAATGCACTAAACACATCCATCACCTCCAAAAATTCCCTTGTATTCTTCTGTGCTTATGGTTTTGGTTTTGTTTTGTGTTTTGGGGGGCTTTTTAAAAAATAAGAACGCTTAACATGAGATCTATCCTCAACATATTTTAAAGTACACTTTCCATTAACTATAGGTATAAAGGGTTAATATCCAAAGTATATAAGAATCTCCTACAACTCAGCAGCAAAAAAAATAAAAAATAAAAAATAACTCAATTGGAAAATGGGAAAAGAACTTGTATAGATATTTCTCCAAAGAAACCATCCCTCGAATCTGAGTCATTTTTTCCTTAGGTCATCCTTGAGCTCCAGGAACTGGAATGTTTTCCTCCTTCGTACTACATCGCATTGTGGTGTCTTTGTTTGATCTTCAAAGCGCCCCCCCTCCAAATGGCCCTACTCTGAATTACTGCACCCATACCCTTCCCCAAGCTTCAGTCTTGTCCCTTGTGGAAAGGGATTTGGAAACAGTTTTGGCCTTTTTAGCATCAGTTGGAAATAAATTACTAATTGTTACTAGTAGTGAACACTAAAGAGGAGGCAGGGTAACTTATTGGATTCAGGGATTAAAACCAATCCTGGACCCTATAACACCTCACCTGAGCTCATTTATTACCATGACCAGATTGCTGCACAGATGGTAATGAACCCTACTTTGGTTCAAGCTTTCCATGCCATGCCATCTTCCCCACAACCAGTCAGCCTCCCTTTGGCCAAATTCTTTTCACCTTTTAGAGCTCAGATAGGATCTAGCTTCCCTTTTGATTCTTCACCAAGTACTGCAGTCAAAACCATTATTTTTTTTTATATATATTGATGATGCCTAAAGTGGAGGTAAACCTCCCAGGGGACACAAAAGAAAACCTTTTAGAATTCCTACTTGTAATTTTCATCCAAAAAATTTAACAATTAGCCTTAGTAATATTTAATATATGGATTGACTTGTCCTCACTCCATCTGCATGTAAATGTTTCAAAGGAGGAGTGATCATCTGTGGGAAGTGTGAGCCTCCCACAGCACAGAGTGTTGTCCATCATTCCCATACTCACACAACTTCTTTCATAATCCTCCAAGATAGGGCAGTTTCTGTGCTGCCCATTTAAGTGGGTTTACCTTAATAAGTAGACTTTAAAAATATGTTACTTTTAATTTTTTATTGTAGTAAAATGTACACAACATACATTTTACCATTTTAACCATTTTAAGTGGACATTAATCATTAATTAATTAAGCATTAAGCATTCACATGGTCCTACAACCACTACCATTATCCATCTTCAGAGTAATCTTTTTAAAACAGCAATATTTTCATAAGTTCCGGAGAGATTTTTGTGCTATAGAGAGGCTCGGTGGTCATCTCATGGCACAGCACTTACAGAAGTTGTCAGACTTAAAGACGAATCACCCCTTTTCTTATACACACAAATGTTCCAAAATTACTGACCTTTCATGTGATGGGAAGTGGCTGTCAGTCATTTGCTAGCTCCAATTTCAAGGACCAACTACCACAACATCTAGCAGATTATACTCTAAGTACAAAAAACTCTTAGATGGTTTTTTATAAAGTGGCATGGCCTTGGGCACTGTCTTCAGTAATCTGAAATGCATTCTGTTCTCTTGAAGCATCTGATGTTCCACAGTAAAATACATGAGAGGGGAATGTCATCGGTGGCCTTGTCAAATTGAGGAAAGAGAAAGCTGAATAGCAAAGCAAGTTGGGGGGCAGATTGGTGGTGCTCACCTGGTTGCAGACAGGCTTGTATTTGAGCCCTGGCTTGTTCAGGATCTTTTCCAGCTGCCTGCGATTAAAGTTGGACACCCCAATGGACTTGGCCAATCCTGCATCCTTACACTTCTCCATGGCCTGGGGAGAAAGGGTTTATGAGGAGCAACCTGTGTCACAGGCTAGAGAAGAGAAATAAATGTTAGCACGCTAGGGATGGGGCTGGGGGTGGGAACATGGGAGACTGGGAAAGGCATAGTCTTTCAAGGTGCAGATGTCAACCAATGAGGCAGGGATTGACTGAGTAAAAAAAAAAACAAAAGTAATAGGGGGAAAAAATGGATAAGAAGATAGAGTAAGAAACGAAACTCTCTCCCTTGTCGGTAACTTGTCAGCATCTCGATGCAGAGTCTCATCCACATTAAACTTTCTCTTCCTCAACAGACCAACGCAGAGCTAAAGGAGCCAGCACACTCTTTAGTGAATGCCTAGAAAAATGTGATTGAGGACTGATAAAACAAATGTCAGAAGAACAGGAGGCGCAGCCAGGATGCCTTTCCAGCATCAAAGGCAGGAAGACCACCTGCCAGACCTCCGCTCCCTGTTCTCTCTGACCTCAGGTCCTCCTGCCATCCATCTCACTTGCTCTGTCCCAGTCTCCTATGTCCCCTTGCTGTTCCTTGAATGTGGCAGTGTCTCTCCCCTCTTAAAAACTTTGCCTTGGCTTTCTTCCTGCCTGTATCACTCTTTCCCCATACAATCAATACCTCCATCTACTACAAGTCTTTGCTCAAACATCACCCTTTCAAAGAGGCCTCCCCTGCCACTCTGTTTTTAATTGCCTTTCTGTGCCCCAAACCAACACTGGCACTCTCTGTCCTTCAGTCAGCTTTACTCGCTGCCCCCATGACACCTACCTCATGGGCCAAGACTTTGGTTCTGTTCACTGATGTAGCCTGAGTGCATAGAGTAGAGTGTGATAGACCTAGACACTCAATAAATACTTGTTGGATGATTACGTGAAAGAAGCAGAGGGACATTCAGGGGCTCTCCTAAGTTTGAATAGAGGCAGAATTGGACCAGATCCCACTTTTCCTGAATCCCCCATGGTGCAGAGGCATGGTCTCTCCGGAGCTTCACTCACCTCCCATGTGCTACAGAGATCCACGGTGTCAAAAATAATTTTTCCATGTGTGTCCTTTGGAAAAATCTCCTCCCCAGGCTGGAACACAGGAAAGAAGGGGAGCTTGTACAAAGCTCTGTCTGGCCTCAGCCAAACTGTCTGGGGCCTAGAGACCTTGAGACCAGTGGAACAATTTGTCCTTAATTCTTGAAAGGAATTTGTAAAGTTAGTCTAAAGGCAAAAGAAGTACATTGAGGAAACATATTTCCTAGAAATGCTTCGAAGTGCTAAAAGTTTAAGACACCCAGGACAGAGCCCAGGGTGGTGCCATGCCCAGTCCTGCCTTTGGTCCTCGGCCCTTGTGAAGAACTCTCTCCCTTGTCAGGAACTTGTCAGCATCTCAATGCAGAGTCTCATCCGCATTAAACTTTCTCTTCCTCAACGGACATCAGTGAGCATGACATTGATATTCCAGAACACAAGAACTTGAAAATATAGGTGGCACATCCACAAGATGGAAGTAGAGGTATCGGTACCAGTGAACCCTGTCACTCTGGAGCTGAAGTACTGAACGAGGTGGAAACAGTTTTCAGAAAAGAGAGAGAGACAGTCTTAAAGTATTCTGTTCTTCTCCCCCTCACAACTATGTGTTCTCTTTTATTCAGCAACTGCTTTTTCCATGGATCACCAAAATAAAACAACTGGTGCTAACCTTTAAAGCCATTGGGCAATGAATAAGGTAGAGATCCACATAGCTCAGCTGGAGTTTCTTCAGTGATCTTTCCAGGCACTTTTGGACCAATTCTGGATGCAAAAAGGTGCTCCACACCTGCAAGAGTTGAAAGAGAAGCCATGTGGGATTCTTCAAAAATCCTTAGGACAGAATAATGAAATGGCAAATAAACCACATCAGCAACCAAAATCCCTCTTGTAGTAGAAGAGTAGCGACACGTCACCCAATGAAGCTCCTGAGTTCTTTAACGTCATAGCGTATTTTCATGCTAAATTAGGGCAATCAATGTATAAAATAGAAATATGATTTTATAGCAGAGATTCTCAAACTTTAGCATGTAAAAGAATTATCGGATTTGTTTGTACAAAACATATTCCCGGGTTCTAGCCCAAACACAGTATCTGTAAACCAGACTGGGAATTGCCTGCCAGACAAGAACCCCAAGTGATTTTCCAAAGAAAGTCCCATGAGGAACTTTTTTGGGAGTAATTTAGTCACCTCATTTTAAGAAGTAATAATCTAGGGGGAAATTAATCAAAATAAATACAATGAAAAAAATTAAAGGAGAATTAAAAGATGAGTGTGAGAAGGCTGGTGCTATAGCTAAAAATAGTCATCTAAAAATAGTCATATATCACATTCTTGGTCTAGAAGGAATGTCCCTTTATAGACTTGCATAGGATTCACGTGCATGGGCCTCAACTCGATCTTTCCTTCACCTCAAATTTAAATGTGTTTTGTTTTTGTTTTTTCCTTCATAGCAGCAGTCAGTTCAATGAACACTAGGGGGAAAATTCCTTGGAGGTTTCCTTTTCAATCTGACTTAAATATCTAAGTTCTTCTACTTGTTTTAGATAGGATGTGAATGGACATGAAAGATTTTTGGAGAAAATGACTCCAGAATTTTTTTAAGAAGTACATAAGTACTTTCACAAACATTACTTTCATCCTCTATCATTTCTGAGGTATTATTATTCCTTACTTCACAAAGATAAGAAATAAATATGCATTGACCACAAAATAGCTTGAGATGTGAAGACTAAGGTTCAGAGAGGATATAAAACTACTTTTGAGTCAAGAAATTTCACAAAGTCAAACAGAATATTAAAGAACTAAAATTTGATCCTAGTTTCATCTGATTCCAAAGCCTATATTTTCTGACTAAATCACATTACCTCAAACTATGGCTAAAGATCAAATTACATTGTCAAAACTCGAGTAGAGCAGAGTTGGAAAAGCCAAGTCATTCCTGAGTTTTAAAAAATATGATGATAATAACAACAGCCAGCATTTTCAAGCATTTAAAATGCATCAAACTTTTCTACAAGCTTTATGTGTATTTTTTAACCTAACACCCACGAAAATCCTGTGAGGTAAATGATATTTAATTAATACCTCCATTTTACAGCTTGGAAAACAGAGGAACAGAGTTTAGATAGTTTGTCCAAGGCCACACATTTAGGAGGTGGCAGAGCCTGGATCTAATTGTAAAAGTCTGATTACAGAAGCCACATTCCTAACCATCCTTTGTAGGTGCAAGGTCTGAGTGGATGAAGATCAAACCAGTAAGAAGAAATATTTGCCAAGAAACTATACAGCTAAGAGTGAGCTTCCCATAGGTATAGATGTAACTGTATGCAGCACCTTTGAGGTACAGAATATGTCTTCTCTCCTCACAGTGCCGTTGGCGATCTTCTTCCGGATGGCCCGCCCAACCTCCTCTTCATTTAGATATATGTAAGCAGAGTCAATATGGCGGTAGCCTACATCAACTGCTATCTGGATGGCCTCCTCTACCTTACTTTTAGCAACCTAGAAAAGTATAAAAAGATAAAGACTTACTCAACTCAGGAACAGATGACCAATTCCATAAGCAGAGCTATTCAACAGAACCTATTGTTTTCCCAAAGGCTAAGAGCTAGAGGTGGCAAAGCTAAAATTGAGTTATAAACAGTAATGAATATTCAACAACTGACCATCTGAAAAAAAGAAGTCCTGGTTTGTAGTATTTTCCAATTTCTATGTTGCATACATTCCCATATTTCCTAATTTTAAGCTTCCAAAATTAGGAAAAGATGTTCATAAGACTCTTGTGAGTCTATGTGAGCTAGACCCAGCATATCACTGGTTTTAACACTCTGTGTATTTATACTATCTACATGATCTATGGATTTACACAATCTATAGATTTAAATTCTTAAATTAATTCATTCTATAAGAGATTACTAAATTGGTTTCAACCCAGATATCCAATGATAATTATCTATCAATGCAAAGATGTAACTTTACACACAGTAAATTAGTGATTTACTTACCTAAACTTGGAAAAACTCCTCAAAGAACATTTGAGGAAGGACAAAAATGTAAAAGAATATAAACACTTTTTTTCACTCAAAAATATCTCATAATTCTTTTTTTTTTTTGGTTGCTAAGTTGGTTCTTAGGTGACACTTTATCCTTCAAAACTTTGTTACCTTCTTAGATGCCTACTGTTCTCTGGCCCACCAGTCTGGACCCTTGGAGTCATCCACAATTGTTCTCTTTGCATCACCACCTCCTCTACCTCACTCAGTAGTTAAAATGCCTCTTGGATATTTTTTTTTTTTCATTTCCAACTCCCAGTGAGTCAACTGAGTTCCATGAAGATTCACTGACTGTCCACAGGTTAGAGCCAAGTCAAAGCAAAAGCAGAACTTCCTGCCAGCCTTTTTGCTTACAGCCCTCAATATTATACACCATGTGCCTTTAATGTTGGTAAATCAATCCTACAACTTTTCTAAACAAGTATAAACTTCTTCACCAAGAACCACTGAGATGTGCCCGTGTAAGTTTGCAGCATTTGATCCAGAAATGTGCACGAAGTTCAATCTTCCACAGAGAGGGAAAATTTCCAAGTGCCACTTGGCTTTCCCCATGGCACGGTCTTAACAACTAGGCCTCTAGGAGACTGTTTTCACCCCAGGCCACCACACTCCCTCTAATCCTGTCCCTCTGATTCCAAGTTCCTCAGCCACAGAGCTTTCTCTAGATAATCTATGATTAGTGGTGGACATTAAAAATCACAGAGCAACTTCCTCACAAGCAAGTTTGCTGTGAAGTTTCTGACATATGGTAATCATAGCAACTGGGTTTCATTTATCCTAATACACTGTGAAATGGCTACAACTAGATAGCCAATGAGAGTAGCAAAAACAGACCTACCCACCCCTGAATTCTGAAAGATGGCCCTGATACAGCGCCACTCCAAGTGTGGTCCTGGGCAAGCAGCATCAGAATCACTTAGTAGCTCATTAGAAGTGTGAGTTTTAGAGCATTACCCCAGACCTACTTGATCAGAAACTTTGAGGGCAGGGCCTCCAAATCTGCATTTTTAATAAGATCCTCAAGTGTTTATATCTCTAAACACCTGAAATTTGAATTTGAAATTTGAATCTAAAAACTTGAAATTTGAAAAGCACTGACTTAATGCACAAAGTAACCTGACCTGTTTTATAAATGAGGAAAGTGAGACTCGCATGAATTTCTCAAACTCACACAGTGACTGGTTCTGGTCAGGACCTATGTCTGCTACCCAATGCCATTCCATGCACAACACCATATGGCTACCTTAGCAGGAGCAGAGGTGCCCAACCCCAGTGTAGGCATGAAGTATCCATCATTCAGTTTTATAGAAAGCGGTACAATATAATTCATCTTCTTTCACTCTTCCTGTAAAACAGACACTGCTTTTCTTCTTTGTTAAGAGAAACCTGTAGAAGGAAGAAAATAGATAGCACAATGGCTATATATATATATTTTTTTTTTTTTTTTGAGACAGAGTCTCGCTTTGTTGCCCAGGCTAGAGTGAGTGCCGTGGCATCAGCCTAGCTCACAGCAACCTCAAACTCCTGGGCTCAAGCAAGCCTTCTGCCTCAGCCTCCCAAGTAGCTAGGACTACAGGCATGGGCCACCATGCCCGGCTAATTTTTTCTATATATATTAGTTGGCCAATTAATTTCTTTCTATTTATAGTAGAGACAGGTCTCGCTCTTGCTCAGGCTTGTTTCGAACTCCTGACCTCGAGCAATCTGCCCGCCCCGGCCTCCCGGAGTGCTAGGATTACAGGCATGAGCCACCGCACCCAGCCTAATGGCTATATTTTTAAATAACAGCTTTAATGAGATATAATTCACATGTCATAAAATCACCCCTTTAAAATATAATATAATAATTGATTTTTTGATATTAAACCAATTTTGCATTCCTGGGATAAATTTGCCTTGGTCATGGTAATCCTTTTATATGCTGCTGGATTAAGTTTGGTAGTATTTTGTTGATTATTTTTATAGCTATATTCATAAGATATTTTGTTCTTTAGTCTTCTTTTCCTGTGATGTTTGTCTGGTTTTGGTATCTGAGAATATTGGTCTCTAGGAATGAGTTCTTGGAAATGTTCCCTCCTCTTCTATTTTTGGAACAGTTTGAGAAAGATTAGTGTTAATTCTTCTTTAAATGTTTCATAGAACTCAGCAATGAAGCCAGCTGGGTCTGGTCTTTTCTTCTTGAGTTTAAAAAATATATGTTACTATTTAAATCTCTTTACTTGTTATAGGTCCATTCAGATTATCTAACATTTCTTGAACCAGTTTTAGTATTTTGTATTTTTCCAGGGATTTCTCATTCCAACTAAGTTATCTTTAAGAGGAATTGCAGTGTTCCCCTTTTCATTCTTGATTTTAATTATGTGCATTTTCTCTAATTTTTTTCTAGAACAGTCTAGTGTGCTATTTAATTTCCACATATTTTCTTTCTTAGGTTACCTTCTGTCGATGACTTCTAATTTCATTACATTCTAGTCAAAAAAACTTATTTGTATAATTTTAATCTTTTAAAATGCATTCAGTCTTGTTTTATTGCTTAATGTGTGACCTCTACTGGCAAATGTTCCATGTGCACTCAAGAATACTGTGTGTTCTTCTGTTGCAGAATGGAATGTTCTGGATATGTCTGTTAGGTCTGGCTGGTTGACAGCATTGCTCGCATCACCACCTGAGCTCCACTTTCAGTCACATCAGCAGTGACATTAGATTCTGCATTTTGGTGAGTTGTATAATTATTTAGTTTTATATTACCATGTAATAATAATAGAAATAAAGTGCACAGTAAATGCAATGCGCTCGAATCGTCCCAAACAATTGCCCCCACCCCTGTCTATGGAAGAATTGTCTTCCATGAAACTAGTCCCTGGTGCCAAAAAGGTCGGGGACTGCTGGTAGAGAGCATACAACTGGATCATACTTGGTTTTGTTTTAAATATCCATTTTAGAAACTCTGGGTTTTTTTCCTTTTTTTAATTTTAGCGAATTATGGGGGTACAAGTGCTAAGGTTATGTTAGAAACTCTGTTTTTCGATTGATTTTTTTCATCAACTTACATTTACATTGCTGACAATGTAGGATATATATCTGCTGCTTTGCTATTTGCCTCTGATGTCTTTTGTCTTTTTTTACCCCCGCCTCCATCACTGCTTCCTTTTCTGTTAAGTAAGTGTAGGGATTTGAGGGATTTTGTGGCTAACCTAGGAAAAAGGTGTGTGTGTAAGGTGGCAGAAGAATATACAAGGTTTATCGGGTAACACTCGGACAGGTTTGCATGTAGGTGAAAGTTCCTCACAGCAAGAGTGAGTCCAGAGACTAGAGCATGGGTGGTCACTGCTCAGAAGGGGTATAGGTCAAAGGACTCCAAAGAGAGAGGAGGTTCAGAGAAGGAACTTATGTGTCTAGGTGATGTCACCTAGCAGCACAGTGGGAAGTCTCTGAGTTAGAGAGCTCCAAAGGACCAAGGCAGGTTAGGGTCTTACACCCATGAGTCACTATCAATGGCCAGAAGATGTGGGGTGAGATTTTGTGAGGTATGCAAATCAGGAAAACTCTAAAAGGCTAAAGATATGCTTGTCTAGACTATCTTAAAATATTGTGAATGGGCAAAAACTTGAGTTTGGTGCCAATGGACTTTTGAACTAACATGGCTCAGCCTGCAGCAAAGAAATAAGCAACCTAAATGGCAATACAGGGAGACTATTTTGGGGTCATTTACATAACAGTAGGTATTTTCTAGTATACTATTTTAATTATTCTATAGTTAGTTTTACTATAATTTTGAGGTATTTTCTTAGTGATTGTCCTGGTGTCTTTTTTTTTTTTTTTTTTTAAAGCCAGTCAAATTTAGCAGTGGGGGGTTGAATACCATGTCCTGGTGTCTTAACACAATCAAGTTTAGATTAATACCAAGTTAATTTCGGCAGTCTAAACAACTTTGGTCCATACAGAAAACTGGTCTTTGCCAAAACAGACAACAATATACACTGGGGAAAAGAATCCCTACTCAATAAATGGTGCTGGGAAAATTGGATAGCCATATGCAGAATGAAACAGGATCCATATCTCTCACCACTCACACAAATTAATTAAGAGACTTAAATGTAAGCTATGAAACCATAAAAATTCTATAAGAAAACATTGGAAAAACTCTTCTAGATATCAGTCCAGGCAAACAATTTATGAAGAAAACCCCAATGGCAATCACAGCAGCAATAAAAATAAATAAACATGGGATTTGATTAAATTAAAAAGCTTCTGCACAGCTAAGGAAATAATCAACAGAGCAAATAGGCAACCTACAGAATGGGAGAAAATATTCACAAGCTATGCATCTGATAAAGGACTAATAACCAGAATCCATTAAATAAAAAACTCAAGCAAATCAGCAAGAAAAAAACAAATAACCTCATTAAAAAGTGGTCAAAAGACATGAACAGAAGCTTTTCAAAAGAGATAGCCAAATAGCCAATAAACAGATGAAAAAATGTTCAACATCAATAATCACCAGGGAAATGCAAATTAAAACCACAAATGTCAAGGTTATATTTTTTTCAACCATTAAAAAAATGTATATAGATCCTTTTGTAGTTCATAAGCATGATGATTGGGTTTTCAGGAGCATGCATGAGATGTGCATGAGATGTGCCTCCCTCAGTCCTTGTTATGATGTCTGCACATTACCCGTCTGACTTGAAAACAAAAAGAAAAACATATAAACCATATTTAGCTCATGGGCTATACAAAAACTTAGGCAGTGTTCTAGGCTTGTGGGCCATAACTCTATATGATTAGTAGACATAGTTATTAGGGCTATAATTACCTTTCTATAAATTACTATATTTTAAATTGTGACAAAATATATATAATATTTATCATTTTAACCATTCATAATCATATAATCCAGTGGCATTAAATACATTCACAATGCTGTCTAACCATCACCACTTCTATACCCAAAACATTTTTGTCATCCTCACGAGAAATTCTGTACCTGATACAGGAGATTGCACGACGGCGCTTCCAAGGGGAGGGAGCTGGTTTCCTGGCATTCCTTGAGTTATAAGCAGCTGAGGCAAGGGGTCACCCTGGAGCCCCACCCCAGACTGTGCACTGGCCTGGAACCCTGGCGCCCTTTGCTTTGGCTAAGAGAAGGAGGGACTGCTGCCAGGGAGACTTAGGCACAACGACCTCAGGGACCACAGGAGACACTATGCACCCCTGGCCCAGGCTGCTGTAATGAGCAGCCCGGCCCAGCGCCAGCTGCAAGGCGCATTCCACCGGCCTCCTGGGGGTGGCCCCGCCCCTGCACCCTGCTCGGGGTACTAGCACTAGTGCACACCATCAGGGCCCTCTGGGCTTGGCTTCCCTCCTCCCCACGCAGTTAAGGGGTAGGGGATGGCCCAGCCCAGTTCACCACCATTGGCACTTGCACACTCCTCCAGGGGGCCTGAGATTGGGCTTACTTACATTCTGTTTCTCATTCCTCTTAGCACGTCCTTCTAGTTTTCCTATAGCAAGAAAACGTGTTTCAGAAAGTAAGGTAATTCCTGTATGTATAGATTATGTAAGAGAAATATTACCTCTTCTCTCATCAGGGCCCCAAATATGCCTGCCATCTTAAAGAGCTACTTTTCTAGACACAACTATGTGTGAAGGATTGAACAACTGACTCAGTAGAGACGAATTATATATTTTACCTAATGGTTAAAATAATTGATTCAAGAATAGGGCTTTTATGAAATCCGGGCCAGTATTCCTTGAGATTTTTCCATTTGGTCCCTGCATATTCCAGACAAATCCAAGGGTACAAGTATCTTAATTCACACTCAAATTCTTAATCACAGACACTTAAGGCAAAGCATCTTGCCAGGGTGACGGGTTCAATCTCAGCCCCACACTGTGTCAAAACCAGGCTTCCTTCATGAACTCTTACCTGTATCACTTGTGCGGACTTTCTCTTCCTCACAGTAATTTAAAGCAGTTTTTGTGCTGCTTTTGCCTACCACTTTTCTTTTCTTGGAGCCCTTATATTCACTACAGCACATCTGTCTAATTTCAAATATTAAAGAGCCAGGTTCCCTAGTGACCAATTACTATAGGGAGTTCGTTTTATTTAAACTTTAAAGCAGTTTTCTCGAAGTGCAGTCCAGGGACTTAAGAGGTCCCTGAAATCATTTGGGGGGGCATGAGATAAAGAGTACTTTTATGATAATACTAAGAAACTATATCACAGCAGATTGAATACAGAAGCAGATTTGAGAGTCTTGTGGTCTTCTATTAAGCTACTTATTAGACTTTTAAAAATATAAAACAATACCACTTTTCTCCCTAAATCATTTTTGTTTTGAAAAAGATTGTGATTTTTATAAAATATTTATGTCAAAATGTAA